TAATTTTCAGATTGCAAAGGGCCAGGCCTTTCATATGGAAAAGCCTCTGCTTGGGTGGGGCGGGGTCTCGGGATCAACAGTGTGGAGCAAGCAGCTGTGGCTGATCCTCAGCCCTGCCCTAAGAGTCTGCTGTTGGAACTCTGTATAATATCCTTTATTTCAGTCAGTGTATGCTTAATTTCTAGTTGGCCCTTTTTCCTAAGAGGCCCCGCATCTCAGTGTCCCAGTAATCGCTGCAAGCACCTCTGAGAGAAGACCGCCCTCGAGTTCTGAGTTCTGCCCGATGCCAAACAGTCCAGTTTGTCCCCGTATGAGTCTAGGTCCCCAGAGACTCACTCAGAACTGAAGTTCAGAGCAGTCGGGGGCTTGTGACTCCCTCCCGATTCAGAAATACAGCCACGTCCTCAGTTGGCAGCCCTTTCCTCATGCGCCTCCATACCTCTGCACTTCCACGCCCCCTCTGAGTCTCAGTGTGCTTTTCTCTTTCCTTCTAGTTGTAGAATTTCCACTCAGCCAGCCTTCCTATGGTCCTGGATGATGTCCGTTTTGTCTTTTAGTTGTATTTTTGAATTTGTTGTGCGAGGCAGCAATTTCCGGTGTTTACCTATGTTGCCAATGTTCTCTCACAAGTAAATTTAATATTAAGAAGAAGTTAAGGCCCTAGCTGGTCTGGCTCAGTGATAGAGTGTCAGCCTGTGGTCAAGGGCACATGCTCGGGTTGCAGGCTCAATCCCCAGTAGGTGGCGTGCAAGAGGCAGCCAGTCAATGATTCCCTCTCAACATTGATGTTTCTATCTGTCTATCTCTCCCTTCCTCTCTGAAATAAGTAAAAAAGAATACACACTAAAAAATCTGGGACTATAGAAAACCCCAAAGAAGAAAGTAAAGTACTTGAGGCAGCACTAACTTCCATGAGCGTTTTGGTGAATTCCCTCCCAGCTCTTTCAGCACCCATGTGCAGTCTAAGATTCCTCTCCTGTGTAATCTAAGCCAATGCTGCCCAAAGTCTGGTCTGCAGGCTGGCAGCATCACTGTGCCCCGGAGCTTGCTGGAGGTACAACTTCTCTTCTTGGCCCAGGCCCCGACCTGCTGAATCAAGTCTCTTCAGGTGGGGACCAGCCATCTGAGTTTGCACGGCCTCTGGGTGGTTCAGACCCACAGGAAATTTTCAGGAGCACGAGGGTGTACCAGTGCTCCTCAGAGTGTGATCTGCCAGCTATTATCAGGCTGCAATAAGAAACACAAAAATTGAGAGGAAACATTTATGTTAAACTTAGAAATACTGATGTTAATTTCACATGCTGTGACATCCAACCATGGGATCCTTTTAAAAAATAGTATTATTGTATTTTACAAGGTCACTCCATAGTCGACTGCTTAAAAGAAGGAGAAAGCGCCCTGGCCAACTGCCCTCCCCTCCTAACCTGATCGCCCCTAGCCGTCTCTGCCTCTGCCCCACCACCATGACTTTGTCCTGAAGGTCTCCTGGTCTAATTAGCATATTACCCTTTTATTAGTATAGATTTTTTTTTAAGTTAAGTTTTCTCCTGATGTTAGGCAACTCCTGGGTTCCTCCATCTTTTGGTCATTGGGAGTGTGGCAGGTAAACGGCTTCTGGGGAGGGAACTTCTCCCTGCATAGGGGACACTGAATTGGTGTCATACCACTAGGTTCTTTTCACTTTCTTGATAGTAACATTGAGGCAGCACAGGAGTTTTAAATTTTGTGTAGTCTAATTTATCTTTTTTTTTTTAAGTATATTTTTATTTTTTTTTAGAGAGGAAGAGAGAGATAGAAACATGTGCCCTGACTAAGAATCGAACTGTGACTTCCTGGTTCATAGTTTGATGTTCAACCACTGAGCCACACCACCAGGCTAATTTATCTATTTTTTTTGTTGTTGTTGTTTTTTTAAAAAATATATTTTACTGATTTTTTTACAGAGAGGAAGGGAGAGGGATAGAGTTTGAAACATCGATGAGAGAGAAACATCGATCAGCTGCCTCCTACACACCCGCTACTGGGGATGTGCCCCAACCAAGGTACATGCCCTTGACCAGAATCGAACCTGGGACCCTTGAGTCCACAGGCTGACACTCTGTCCACTGAGCCAAACCAGTTAGGGCTCTTTTTTGTTTTGTTGCTTGTTCTTTTAGTGTTATATTACTACTCTTCTTTAAGGGTGTGTTGATTATGCCTTGGGTTTAAGATTTAGTAGCAGAGATAGTGGTGATGCAGTTAGCAGGGCTATAGAATGCAGAAGGGGAGGGGTTTGTGTTTTAGGGTTGGGAAGTACTTGGGCAACGGAAGGCAGTAAATTCCATCTTTTATATACTGTACTGAGTTTAAGGTACAGAGAAGACAAAGGAAAAAAGAAATATTAAATGGCCAGCTTGAAATATATGTCTGGAGGAAAGGAAGGAAATCTGGACTAGAAAAAGAAGGCAATTGTGAGGCATCCTCTTAGAATGATAAGTGAAGCTACAGAAATAGATGAGATCTACCCCGAAGGGGGCAGCATCTAAGAGAAAAGGGGGGCATAAACAAACAGCCTCATGACGATTATTTACCTGTTTTGGGGAGTGTGTGGAGGAATATTTGGAGGAAAAAACAGTATCACTGTCATAGGGACAAGGTAACATATAGCAAGGAGAAGGATGTGACTGGCATTATCACACAAGAAGTGGAAGCAGGAGCATAAGGAGAATAGGGAAGAGACGCTTGGTAGCAAAGAAGTCACTGATGGTCTTTAGCAGGGCTGAGGGGTAGCAAATTTGGACTGAGGGTGTCAGTAGCTGGGAAGACAGCAACGATTGCACTAATTTGAAAAAAAGGAGAAAGATAGCTTAACAGAAACGCAGAGTGATATAAGGTTTTCATTTTGCTTTTGAAGATTAGGGGTTAAGTATTTTGTGGGCTAAGGGGAAGGAGAGAGAAAAGATTCAATGGGAGGGACTAATTGATAGGCCTAAGTTTTATAGATGGGATGGACTATGAGTGATGAGTTGAAGAATTAACCTTTTCAACTTAATTTCACCAACAGCCTCCCCCATTTCTTTTTTTTTCTTTTTTAAGTATATATATATATATTTTCTTTGAAATATATTTTTAGGAGAGAGAGATAGTTAGAAACATCGATGAGAGAGAAACATCATTCAGCTGCCTCCTGCACACTCCATGCCCTTCTTGGAATTGAACCTGGGATCCTTGAGTCCAAGGGCTGACGCTCTATCCACTGAACCAAACCGGGTAGGGCAATTTTTATTTTTTTACTGGTTTCAGAAAGGAAGGGAGAGAGAGATAGAAACATCAATGATGAGAATCATTGATCAGCTGTCTCCTGCATGCCCCCTACTGGGGATCAAGCCCACAACCTGGGCATGTGCCCTTGATTGGAATCAACCCTGGGATCGTTCAGTCCACAGGCTGACGCTCTATCCACTGAGCCAAACCTGCTAGGGCCCTAATATTCTTTAGTATAGTGTTTGTATCACAAGTTTGGGAAAGAATGATCTAGTTTAAGAGCATGTCAATGTCAGGGACCTTATCATTAAGGTATAGCCCCTGGAACATAGTAATTATGGTAATGGTAGGTTGGTGGACAAAGTAAGGAAAGGAAGAGGGTCCCATCACCTGGGTCTAGAAGGCAAGGTAGTAAGAATGGGTATAAATGCAGGTAATGAAGGTGAGGAGAGAAGTTGAAGTTCACAGTGAGTAGCCTCCATCCCATCAGTTGAGCAGGAGACTAGTGGACTGCTAATAACAAGTAGAGTGGAGGCTCCTGCTGTCTTTTCTGCCATCATTCTTTAACTTGTATTTTCATTATAGATTTGTAATACTAGTGACCCGGTGCACAGATTCATGCACCTTGAAAGGAAATTAATTCGAAGGTGACCGGCAGGGCAGGGCAGGATTGGGCGAGACGGGCCGGACATGCCCTGGAGCCAACCTCCTGCAGCCCCTCCCTGGCTGGCCAGCTGCACCTGGTGTGGCTCCATGGCTCAAAAGGTGTCTGTGGAGTGAGTGGGGTTCCTCTGGCAGGTGAGGTCCCTCTACCTGGCCTACGGGGATTGGGCCGAAATCGGCTCTCCCACATCCCCCGAGGGGTTCCCGAGTGCGAGAGGGCACTCTGCAAAGTTGCTGTCGTAGCAAGTGTGCAGTAAACCAGATTCCAGTAAACTAGATTCAGGGCCGACAGTGCCCCAGCAACAACATAACCCACGGCTGAAGGTGGAATCGTGCAGCCCTGCAAGGAATTGGGCTCCCTCCACTCTAGTTTCGGGGTATGTCACCCGAGAAGTGCCGCTGCCAATTCACTGCAGCTCGGCAGCTCTGCGCATAGCGACCAGTTGGATGGGCAGAGGGACATTTAGCATATTAGCTTTATATATATAGATAGTACATAGATTCCTTGTCATTGTAAATAGTGGAGCAGCACACCCCTGCTGATTTTTAACACCATATTTTGTGTTCCCAGTTGATGCTTTCTGAATGGTTAATTGACGTCCCTTCGGATTTGGGGCAGGAATGGATTGTGGTTGTGTGCCCTGTTGGAAAACGAGCGCTTATCGTGGCCTCCAGGGTGAGTAGCTGCCTCCTCTTACATCACCATTGCCTTGTCTGTAGTAAGAGGGATTCTTTGTACTTCATGTTCCTTGTCCACCACAGCAGCTGTGCCTGGCATGGGGATTGAAATACTTGCCTCTAGGAAGATTTTTTGAAAGCCATCTTTAGGCTGATGACACTTCTGCAGAGTGTGGGAGCAAGAGTGTGATGAGAACTGATGTCTAATGGTACCTTTCTTACCAAATAGGGTTCTACCAGTGCCTACACCAAGAGTGGTTACTGTGTCAACAAGTTTTCTTCACTTCTGCCAGGAGGCAACAAGCGAAACTCAACAACTGCAAAAGGTACCTACATGAAATTGTCTGTTTTTTTAAGTTTATAATTACAAAGTTTTTTAATCAGTAAAAGAAAGTGTAAGGGAAACCAAGATGGTGGCATAGGTAAACACCCGAAATTGCTGCCTCGCACAACCACTTCAAAAATACAACTAAAAGACAAAACAGACATCATCCAGAACCACAGGAAGGCCGGCTGAGTGGAAATTCTACAACTAGAAGGAAGGAGAAAAGCACACTGAGACTCAGAGGAGGTGCAGAAGTAAAGTGCAGAGGTATGGAGGCACACGTGGAAATGGCTGGCTACTGAGGACACGGTTGGCTTTTTCAATCGGGGGGGAGGGAAAAGC